GTGACACTAACTTGATTGAAGTGCTCAAAGCACCCCTGCTTTCTCCTGTGTATCTTCTTTGCTCTGTTCAACCCCAGGAGGTTTCTGCTGTGCAGCACCAGTGGTCCCTGCCGGGTTGGATCTCACGATCCAAACAGACAGTGTGTAGCTCAGAGGTCTCCTCCCCTGTCAAAAGCCACCGAACTGGAGGCTGAGGGCACTGCCTCTTCTCGGGGGGGAACTGTGGGTGGTCAACGGAGGGACATTTCCTTGGCAGGGTGCTGCGGTGCGTGCCTGTGCTACACTCGGCTGGCCAAGACCCCACCAGGGCAGTGGGGTCTGATGCCCACTGTGTCCTTCAGTTCTTCTGGTCATTTCTGCATAGCAGTAGGTAAGACAGGTCTCTGTCAGAGGCTATGTGTGTGCCAGCGCAGAGGTGCACGTTCGGGGAGGTGTTGCCAGGGAAAATGGCTTTAAGGGGCTAGGTTCACACCTTCCCTTGAGCAGTGGCTTGTGGCCACACAGCAGAGCAGTTACAGACCCACAGAGCTCGTGCATCAGGGCATCCCCCTCCCTGCCCTCTCTCCTTCACGCCCGAACTTTAGACGGGCTGTCCTTTCACCAGCAATAGATGGAGGAGCTCTGCAGTGGAGGCAGCCAGTGCCACCGCGGCCCTGTCCTCCAGGCAGCAGTCCGCAATTGTTTATAGAGGAATATTAATGTTAAAATAGAGGTGTATTAACCTCTGAATAGTTCCCCTAGGTGCTGCTTACACGGTGCATTTCAAACAAAGCTGGGTGAAGTACCTCCACAAAGGACTGGCTGCAGGACTGAAAACGATACGTGTCTCTAAGCACCCAGAGAGCTTTTGCGTTCCCGTTGGCTGCGACTCCGGGAGCACGTGGGTCAAATGCAGCAGCGTGGAGCACTGTGTAGCTGCGCGGTGCCCCCGGTTCCCAGGCTGGGGGTCCCTTAGCATCACTGGGGCAGCCTGCCGGGTGCCAGACATGGCAGACGTCCTCCCCGTGTCCACACCGCACAGCTGCATGCTGGTGTGCCTGGCTCAAGGGAAGCCTGAACCCGAGAAAACAAGAGAGACGCGTCTGTGGGCAAGGCACTGAAAAATGATGTTTGCAGCGCTCTGCTCTTGCATGCCACTGCTACGCCAAGGCCACCACCTTTGGAGCCCCGGTGTCCTTCAGGGCAGAGGTGGGGAGATGGAGCTGTAGAGGGGCTTCCCACCGAGGAGAACGTGCGAAGGCTTTGTGACTTCTCTTTTGAAATTCGTCATGTCTCTCTCCTTGAGGAACGCTGGTACTTCACCACTTTCTGCTAAGCCAGTGTCAGGGCTACCCATGGTGCGAGGCAGGGGACTGGCACAGCTTGGCAAGGCTCTAGGTCCAGAACAGGGTGTCCCGGCAGGGCAGCAAAGCCTGGTATGACCTGAGTAAGGGTAAATTACTGGATCGGATCCCTCGTTTCTACAGGGTCACACAGAACTCCTGTCACAAAACAAAGTCACTAAAGCCCAGTAACTAGCACAACATAACCAAGCTTTCACCTGTACTGTAATAGCTGTGCGCAAGTGATCCCCATTTACACAACATACACAAATGTCATGTTTTAGTGACTCCCAGGACTAGAGAGATTATACACTCTTTTGTTATTTATCTGTTTACTACCATTTTCTTGCAGAACTAGTCTCTGGCAACATCCTCTAAGTCAGGCCTACGAAGCACCATAGATTTATGCCTGCTAAAAGAAAACACAGGCTCCTCTGTTATTAATATGTAAAGCCTGGAGATGAAGTCACATCTGTGTGATGATCTATTTCGGTGGACCACGCGTGCTTAAATCCCTGCCTTGATCTTTTAAACTATCAAGTCTGCCATAAATATTTTATGATGAACAAGCTCATAAAAAGAAAATGCAGAATATGAATAGAGGGAGAGCAAATGTGTGATTCAATTTTTAATTACCATCACCTTACTCTAAAGTCAAGTTCATCTTCCATAGGAGACAAAAAGCAACAAATTTCTTTCTCACCATAACCTGATCTAAATGATCAGTATTTTTTTAAGGAAAAGGATAAATCATTGTAGAAACAAAAGAACCAGGACACAAGAAATAAGGTAGAACAGTCTGGTTTTATTACCGTATGTAATCAAGAGCTTTTATTTCCCCTCTTCTCCGCCGCCTTTCTTTCTTTTTCTTTCTTGCTTTTTTTTTTTTTTTTTACAACATACATTAAGTTGTGAATCAGATGTTATGGGGGATGTGGAAATGAAGGGAAACTGGTGACATCACAATACTTTACAACTTTACAACAAATGAGAGTCTGAATTTGTTGCATCTACCAGTGTATAGCAAGGGTGGAAAGCAAAGGCACACATAGGTTCATGAACCCCTCGAAACAGAGGGTGGAAGGGATCCGGGGTTGGGAAAGGACAAAAACAGAATACCCACCGAGTACAAAACGCGTGTTTCAAGGTCAACCTGGTAACTGGCGCGGTGCACATCGTGAAGCAGATCGCTGCACAAGCTGCTGCTGTGATTATTCTTCTCTACGTTTCGGGAGAATGCTTTGCAGGGTAGTATCAATGGGACCTGCACATTTGGTGCTCCAGGGGTTTGGAACTTGGTAAAAAGGTTGTGTGTTGGTTTTTTTAAAAAAAAAAAAAAAAGACCTTGCTACCTACTCTTTTCAAAGGATTTTCTGTCTGTTTTTATTAAAACAACAACATTGCTTTGGATACAGAACTATCTACTCCATTCTGCATAGTTCACTATAAGGGTGAACAAAACTGTTTCATAAAAGAAGCCATGATGAAATGAAAGAACATGCAAGCACCCTTGTTACACACTTTGGTCTAGACCATCCAGACTTTATATATACCATCTATAAGCTAATGGACTTAAAATCTGTCTTTTCAGTCATTCAGAAACAAAACCAAAACCCTGAAAAACAAATGGAAGTATAAAATTTTAAAAAACAAACTGAAACAGAAACAACCACCTTACTCAAACATACTGTTCAGTAGATATATATATATATATAAAAAGCTTAGAAGCGATCCCCATCATTTTTCTACAGTATGTTGACACAGTTATTGTAACAGATTAAAAACACATCTACGTTTTTGCATAAACTGAAAGACTGGAAAGGAACTTACACACCTGCGCGCACACACACACACGCACACACCTGTGCACGCGCACACTCCCACGCTAACTACATGCACAGTCACACAAAAGAAACAAAGGAAAAAAAAAATACATTTTTCCCCAAAGAAGTATATGCAGCATCCTTCTGGAGCAGCAGGTAGCTACAGCAGGAGCCCGCCTGCCTGTCCTCGCTCCAAGGCTGCGGGGCGCGTGGCGGGGCTTTCTGCAGGGCTTGGCCCCTCTCGCCGGCGCTCGCCCCCAGCGAGGGGACACACTGGCCCCGTGGACGAGGGTGTTGGTCACTTCCCTGCTGCCCACTGAGCACGATCCCCAAGCGGACACGTGGTAAAGGGGGAGCGGGAGGGGGGGAAGGCAGAACCCCCAGCACGGTGCCTTGGGAGCAACCCCGCCTGTGGGTGGTTTTGAGAGAGGGCTTGGCACGGCTAGGAAGTCAAATTGAAGCGGAGGGCACGGCGCTAGCCTAATTTCATGAGGGGCACGGGGTTATGACAATAACCACCACGTTCTTCTTTCAATGTCTTTACTCCAGTTCTCGAAGGGGCTTGGAGGAGGAAGGATCAATAAATATTTGCATTACTCAACGGGGAAAAAGAAAAAGGTTTTACATACTACAGCTCACAAGTATACACAACTGAGGGTGTAAGGCACAAATTTACATGTGGAAGAAAACAGGCTATTCACAGATATATTCCCACGAAAAACCCGTGTGATAAGACCATAATTTATGCATGGTAACAGCCGGCATATTAACTAGTTCACACTGTTTGAGGATTTTGTTTGCCGTCTCACATGCAAGGTGAAATGAGATGGCACATCACAAGCTGGTGCCTTCACAGAAAGTATTAGCTACTGACAAAGCCATGTTGATAGCAATGGTGCACAAATGTGCGGCTTTTAAGAGTTTCTCTTGCAGTTGCGTTAGAAGTTATGAAGTTGTGGTATTTGTTTGTTGCTGTCTTAGGTCAGAGGCCCAGCCAGCTAATTAGCTGAGAGACTTAAATAGATATCCCCTTTTTTTTCAGCTAATCAGGCAGTCCAGGCACAAAGTTTAGAATTCCAGCTCCAACTTATCTAACTCAGTGAATTTATTGGAAAAATAAAAGAGTTTTAATTACTCCAGTTAATGGGTTTCACGTTAAATAGGTATAACTTTCAAGGTACTTCTCTGAAGAGCTGCTCACAGGGTGATATGCAGAAGTCATTTCCTTAGGAAAAACAAAAGTTGAACAATAAATAAGAGGAGTTACTTGCGTTAACAGTCACGTGTTATTCATTAAAAGAGAAGGGTAGCAGAAATCTATGACATAGTTTGCCCAACACGGCATTTAACTGCTGTAACCTAATGGCTGTAACACTGATGGGCATCATTTCACAGTACCTGCACGTAGTTAAGTCAGAGTTAGCTTTATCAATGGATTCGGTTTTTTTGTCTTTTTTTTTTCTTTTTTAAATTTGTTTGTTTTTGTAATTATTTGTTTTGCTTTTCAATTTCCCAGTTCAGGAATGCACTGTGCAGTTGGGGGAGAGGAGGGTGAAATGTCACAGTCATCTTTCACCTGTGTGCTTTTGGCTCAACGTTTGTGATGGAGGGTTAGTCTTTTGAGCAAAGAACTGGCGGGTTGTGGGGGCGAGTCCTGCAATTGCAAACCTTCAACCATGGGTCATATGGCTCGGGTTTAAAAAAATATTCCACTTTTCCCAGAGAGCAGAAATCCAACACATCTTCAGCTTGCAGCAACCATCTTCTCAGAGGAGCAAGCGATAACAGTTGCAGAACACTGGCTTTCAAGGGCAACCTCTGCTTAATTGCCATTCTCCCCCCCACCCCACCCTGATTATGTACATGCGTCGTTGGGCTTCATGGAGGTGGAGAGAGGAGCAAAGGAAGGTTTGGGAGGTACGTCTGGCTTTAGCGAGGGCGTGCGTTTCAACCCTGACCTCGTCAGTGAGTTGTAGGCGGTGAGGCTCGGCTGGCCAG